CCCACCTTTCGAGCGGATAGAGATTTTAGCTTTTTAATATAGCGGAATATCTTATTAATAATATATAAAAAGGAAGATTAAGAAAAACTAGATTCCCTTAAGATACGATACTTATCGAGTACGGGTCGCTAGGATATCGACTTAGAGGAGGGGAATTATATAACGCCCGACTAAGCCGTTACTAAGAAGCTCTAGGTAGAAGCCCCGTATATAACTAAATATAGAGTACGGACTAAAGGGATTATTTACGTAACTATAACTAGATTATAATACTTAAGGTAATCCTATTATTAACCTAACTATAATCTATAGTAATAGGATTACGATAGTACCTATAAGCTATCTAATATAGACTTACTATTTAACTAACTTAGGATAGGGAAATAGGTATAAAAGGATAAATATTCTTATATTTATAGATATACTCTTTCTTATAATAGTAATTAATCTAAGTCTTACTTTATATTTATTATAACGAGTACGTAACGCTTTACGATACTATATCGCCTTAGAGTCATAACCTAAGCTTCTACTAATAGTAACCCTAACCCCCTCTAATAGTGTTCCTCCTTTAGAAGCTACCAGGTCGTAATACTTCTTTATAGAATTATAGAGTTAGGCCTCTATTAATTTATAATTTATTAATAGTATTATAGGGAATACCTAAACGCTATTCTAATAGGCTATAATCTATATCTTTTATTAATAAAAGCTAGAGAGAGTTTTAGATTAATCGGAATATAGATTAATAATACCTTAAACCTTAGAGAGCTTACATTTATAGAAAAAGAGTAAATAGAGCTCTAGAGAGCTAGTTTCTACGTAAAGCCTACTTCTATCTTAAATATAGGGTTAAAGGGGGTATTTAATAGCTATATTATTAAAATTAGAATTAATAATTTTATAATTTTATAGAAAAGCTAAACTAATCGCTTAGAATAGGTAATTATAGGAATAAAAGATTTAGAGTAGTAATTCGTTATTTAAAGAGCTCGTAGCGTATATATAGCCTCTACTTATTAATTAGAGGTAGCTTTCGATTTCGCTATAACTTCCTAAACTAAGAACCTAGAGAGGGACGACTTTAAAAGGCTTAATAAATATATTTAATAATAGATCGATAATATAAATTATAGCCTAAATTATATATACCTTAATCTATTAACGGCCTAACTATATATATTTATTAACGGCTCCTTCGTAAATAATAAGGACTTTAGTTTATAGATCGGATTCGTTACCTTTCTTAGTAACGAACGTTCCTATAATTAAGAGAACGCTTTTATAGTACGTAGAAATATCCTTTATTAGTAATCTATTAAATATAAACGGGTTATACGTTTAGTTTTAGTTAGCGAAATCTATAAGATAATTAATAGCTTCGATATAATTTATATCCTTAAATAGACGCTTTATAAGATCTATAAACGCTTAGAATTACTACTCCTATAGATAATTATCTATATTAATAATTATTCGCTCTATTAATACTTAATTTAATTAAGTGCGATAATAGAGAAACGCTTAATAATAGATCTTATAGCGTTATAGTAAAGCTATAAAGAATATAAAATTAACGAAATCTAATAAATAATAAAAAGAGATAACCCTATAGATTTAATAATTAAAGGAGCTTTAAATTAAATATTAAAAGTATTAATAAGCTTTAATAAAATTATAATTAAGATTAAAGGATAAATTAAACGTTAAGAAAAGAATAATTAAAAGGTAAAAGTAATTAATATTAATAACGATTAACTATATTTTAAAAATAATTACTTTATAAATAGTAAAATAGTAAAGTAAGAGCTCGATAAAGCGATTAAGCCTTAGAGTTTAAGGACTCTAAGTCTAATTACTCTAGCGAATCCTATTAAAGGTAATTAAAGAACTATAGAGCTATGGCCTACTTAGCCGCTTTACGTTTAGTATTACTAAGACTATTTAAGTCTCTATTAAAGTCGTCGCCCCTTTTAGCTTCCTCCTCCTTAATAATTATTAATATACCCTTAACGATAGCGTATTATTTCTCTATATCCTATATCCTTTATTAGCTAATCGTATAATTAAATAATTATAGAAAAGAAAAGGGAAGAGAACTTATAGGCTTATTATTTTTATCCTAAATAATTAAAAACTTTATAGCGGGCTTAAACGCTTTAATTAAACTAAAGATAATAATTATTAAAGCTATAGATATTAAAAATAGAGATCGAGGAAGTTTATATTAACTTATAGGAGTACTTAGAGGTATATTTATAGTAACGGGAACCTTTAAGCTCTAAATCGTAATATATACTATTAGCGCTAATTTTAATTTACTTATTAATAAGATAAGACTTTAAGTACTTTAAATAAAGGACTTTATGAATATTACTATATATATATATTATATCCTAGATTAGTAGCTCTTACGATTAATACTAACCGGGTTCTTACGCTTCGCTACTCTCTTAGCGGGAGGGGTAATAAGTACGGGGGCTTTATGCTTAAGCGGTATTATCGAAGCTAGGAAGAGAGAAAGAGAGAGAGAGAGAGAGTAGTAAAAATAAGGATTTATTAATTATTAGAGCTCTTAAATAGTAGATTAAGTTAATTAATCTTAAAAATAGAAAATTATTATAAAGAAGAAGAAAGGTAAAAGGAATAGAGTCGCTAAATCTTATTAATTAAATATATAGATCTATAGAATATAGTATTTATTAAATTAATTAAATAAAATCTATTAATTTTATTTAAATAGTTTAATTTTATTATTCTCTTTTAAAAATAGTTTAATTTAATTATTCTATAGAAAACTAATAAAAAAAGTAATAATAATAGTATATTTACTTTCTATTAATGAAATTAATAATTTAGAGGTATTAAGAGTATATATTTAGCTATTCTAAGAGTATTATTTAAGTACTTATTATACTATTAAATTATTATTTATTTCCTTTATTAAAGGGCTTTAATTACTTATTCCTATTATTTAAATTATAATTTAATTTATTTCCTTAGAGAGCTATTTATAAATAATTCTATTACTCTTAAATATTAAAAGCTAAGAGTTTAACGCTTATTAGAATAAGGAGATTAAACTACGTTTTTCCTCTATTATATTTATTATTCTCTTATTATTAAGTATTAATATTAAAAACGGGAAAAGTAGATCTAATATATTAGAGATTAAAGATTAGAAATATACTAGAACGCTTATTAACCTTAATAATAGCTCCTAATATTAGTTCTTATAGCTATTCTATCTATAAAGAAAAGAGAGTTAGTATTAAACTAATATTAAGGAATTTACTAGGGCGGCGATCCCGATAGGGGATTACCGACCTAATAATTACTATAGCTACGGATTCATAGCTCTTAAGAGCACGTAAATTATAGCTTACGTAATCGGTAAATTAAATAGGTATATCTACTTTACGAGGGTAACTATAATCTATAGAGATAGGAAAAAGGGGGATAGAAGATATATATCACCTACCCTAAGAATTCAGAGCTCTCAGGCATAGCTAAAGTAATGAATCAGGGTTCACATAAGCAGTAAAGCCCTCTCAACAACCTCAGCAATTGACCAGTCTGCTTCTTGCTCCAACATGCTAGGACATTGCCAGCAAAGACGCCACCCAACAATATTTCCAACGCAATTGCGAATCGACATGGTGCAGGTTCTGACTTTGCCACGACAACTCAATTTTGAGAGAACCGTAGTTGAGTTGTGTTCGTGATAATTGTCTCGACCGTGACATTCAACACCCTTTTCACACACAGCTCTCGGCCCGTCTCGGACCGAGCACACACCCATGGGCGTTCTCGAAAAGATCGTCGTCGTGCATCGGCAGTCGGTCCAAGTAACGGCCTAACCCGCACATCAGCCGAGAAGCTTGGAACAGTGCTTTTAACCACAATTGAAGCTGGATTCCCCATGGGGCCCCGCGCCGTTGGAGGTAATACGACCGTAGGTGAGGGGTCAACAACCAAGTCGAGTCACGATCGACGACGCCCCTCCATCATGTTGGGTTCCTGGCCAGTGCCGGCTTCCCCGGGCGCCTCAACATGTTCCGGTGATGACCTCACGTGCAGTTGTCGTCCCCTCAGCCGACTGGCTTGCTCATTGGAGCGCGTCGAGTCCTGAGCTCGAAGTTGCGTCTGAATTTGGTCCGATGTGAAATGTGCCGGGCAATTTATAAACAGCGATTCAGCCAGCTCGCATTCCTTTGAGCATCTTCCCACTCAAGCACTACCGCTCAGCTGTCCTTGATACACTATGAAGTCCCTCGCGACATACGCCATCACGGCCCTTGCCGTGGGAGTTGTCGAGGCTGCTCTCGACATCATCCCTGGAGCCACATGGACTGCCGTACGTGTCTATCGAGTATGACAACCAAGCAGCTTGCTGAAATCATGTAGACAAATACCGGAGAGCATGTCCAGGCGCACGGACATGGATTGATGTCAGTTGTTCTCGGTGCCGGATCCTCCCAAGTTGATGGCGGAACTAACCAAGTGGCAGTGAGGTCGAAGGGACATACTACATGATTGGCGAGGACAAGACAGACGGGACCTACTTCCAAAATGTCAACTGCTACTCGTCTAAGGATCTGGTCGAGTGGTCGTACGAAGGCGCTCTGCTCTCTCGGACCACGGAGGCCGGCGACCTCGGACCCCAGCGCATCGTCGAGCGGCCTAAGGTCATCTTCAACGATGCTACCAATAAGTACGTGCTGTACTTGCACATTGACAGCCCCGACTACAAGGATGCGCGTGTTGGTGTCGCGACTGGCGACACCGTCTGCGGAAAGTACGAGTACATCGACAGCTTCAGACCTCTTGGCTTCCAGAGCCGTGACATGGGGCTGTTCAAGGATGATGATGGAAAGGGATACCTGCTCACTGAGGACGTAAGTTGCTCCCTTGCCTGCGTTGTTGCAACGTCTCACATCAAGACAGCGTGAGTTCGGCACTCGCATCATTGCCCTGACAGAAGACTACCTCAACGTGACTGAAGTCACGTTTGAGTGGGCCTATTTTGCGGAATCGCCTGCTATGCTCAAGAAGAACGGACACTATTTCATCTTTGGTTCCCATCTGACCGGCTGGAACCCGAATGACAACGTGAGTCTCGGCATCTTCATCCGCCCATACGACTGCGCTGACAATCCTCAAGGTGTACAGCTTTGCAACTTCACTTTCTGGTCCCTGGTCGGAATGGACCGAGTTTGCCCCTGTGGGATCCAAGACGTACCGCAGCCAGGTCAGCTACATCCAGCCTCTTGGTAATGGCGATGCCATTTACATCGGAGACCGTTGGGTTTCATCAAACCTCGCCGCCAGCACCTATATCTGGCTTCCTCTCAAAATCTCCGGCACTGATGTCAAGCTGGACTGGTACGACAGCTGGTCGCCCGACGTCTCTACCGGGACCTGGTCGGTTCGCGCTGGCAAGACGGACCTCGAAGGCGAGGATGCAGAACTGGCCAACGGCGCGAGAGTCGTGTCCTGCTCCGAATGCACCGGTGGTGAGGCCGCGGGGTATATCGGCGGCGACACGGGCGGCAAGGTCACGTTCCAGAACGTGCAGAGCGCCTCTGCCGGCGAGAAGACGCTTACGATCAAGTACAAGAACGGCGACGTCGCGCCCCGGCATGCTGAGGTTTCGGTCAATGGAGTTTCTCAGGCCATTGCCTTTATCTCGACGAGGCACCACTCGACCGAGACGGGCAGCAGCGCCGTCAACGTCGAGCTCAAGGAGGGCGCCAACGTTGTTGTCGTTTCTGCTGGCGAGTGGGGACCCGACGTCGACCAGCTGATTGTGCCGAATTGAGGTGATGGGATGTTTTAGGGGTTAGGTCGGCATCGTAGCACCCACCAGTGCGCGTGCGTGCACGTTTTGTCGTAGGCGATGCTATTGAGTCCTGCGTCGAGCTAGGACTGGCTGTCCTCTCAGCTACTCCACAGACCAAAGGAGAAGAAACGAATGAACAAGGATGATGATTTCGCAGCGTCGCAACGGTGTGGACATCCCGACACGTGAAGCGCCTATTTTGACAGATTACCCGCAGTGAAGAACCCAGCCATGTCTCACAAGCCCCTCATGTCAACGCTGTCAGGAACCAGGCCTAGATGCGCCGCCCCAGTAGCTGATCGAAAGGTGCGCTAAGCCCTGGGAAGACGGCCACCTTGAGGACATTGGGCTCTGTAGCGTGGCTATTCGCGGAGTCGGGACGCCAGGGGCCGACCGCTGTTAGCCCTCCCTGTCCCGACCGCCAGTCCAGGCCGATCCATATTGGGGTTGTCTCTCCAGGGGTTCCTCAGGGTCTGGGGTGCTGTTCCAGGGGTCCACGTTGCGAGGCAGCCTTTCTCCCCGCGGTTGGGTGGTGACAGGGGGGAAAGCAAAACGAGGGCTGAGATGCTATTGAATGCCAAGTGCACGGGAATGGCATCGCGGGCAAGTGGACGCTGCTAGAGCCCAGCTGACGACAAGCGAGAGGCCGACGATTCCGATGCGTCAGGGCAGATTTCGCTGGTGTATCGTGAGATTTACGAGAAGCGAATGTTTTTTCACCATGGTGCAAGCGAACTCGGGGTTTCCGTAAGGGGCGGCCAAAGGGCTGGATGCTATCACAGAAACGAGTTCAAATGGAGTATAAGATGCTCATGTGTCATGGCCCTCTGGCATGAACAGAAACATCTCCATCAACATAGACTTCTCCGCTGGCATCGAATTCCCTTTTTCACTCTCAAGCACATCTTTTTCAAACATGAAGTCCTTCATTGCTGCTTTCGGCCTCGTCGGCTTGGCCGTTGCTGGTCCTTGCAACAACAACTGCGGTCGTCAAGTCATCGGCACGGCGAGGAAGTCGCCCTCTCTTGAGGACCGCCAGGCTTTGTGCAGGGCTTTCCTGACGTCCACCACGACGGTTACTCCAGCGTGAGACTTCCGTGCCCAATACTAGACACCGTTCTGTTGACTAACAACCCCTTTAGGACGGCCACTGTCACGGCTGCCGTTGTCTACAACCGTAACGTCCATGGCGCTCGCGCCGAGCCTCCTACTTTAACCGGCGAGAAGCCCGCCTACGCCAGCAGCTGCCCCGACCTCACCTCCTACTGGAATGCTTGCCAGTGCTTTGATGGTTACGTTCCGACTACCGTCACTGTGACCGCCGCAACCCCGACCGAAACTGTGGCCGGTCCGATTTGCACCCAGGGTCTCGAGTACGCCGTTTACACCCCAGAGTACGACGACCCTCTCATCGAGAGACTGCGCGTTGAAGAGGAGACCATCTACACACCGGTGATCGCCAACCTCATCCAGGGTGTCGTCCCCGACTTCACCGGCGTCTCGCCTAAGATCGGCCCCGTCTACGGCGACTGGCAGCTGCCCCTCGTGGCGCCAGCCTACGGCCCCGACGTCGTGGGCGGCCCCGAGACCCAGCTCTCCCACACCATCATCGATCACCGCGGCTACATCAACCCCGCCACGACGGGCGACTACACCATCGTGATCCCATACATCGACAACTCCGTCTTTGTCTGGGTCGGCGCCAACGCCATCTCGGGCTTCACCTACGACACCGCTGTCCTCACGCGCCAGGAGGAGGAGCGCGTCTACCGCGCCTACAAGCTCACCGTCACCGACACGTCGGCGCCCGTCCCTTTCCGCCTGCTGTGGATCAACTATGGCGGGCCCGGCAGCCTCCTGTCGTACATCTATGACCCTGCCGGGAACGAGATCGCGGGCCCCAACGCCGAGAAGAATTCACAGGTCATTTCCAGCTGTTCCGGCGCTGGCGCCGTTTATGGGGCGCCTGGCCTGCTTGGGAGAGTGAGCAGGTTGCTGCCTGAAGGGATGTTGGGATGGCTTGCATTGATGACTGAAACGGCGCTGGCTTTGTTAGCTTTTTTTAATCGCTAGAAAAATGATATGATTGAACAATGCCAACATTTCATACCGAAGACACCGAACTGTGCCCTTGGGGCTCAATGGATTGGATATGCAGTTGGAGAGGTGAATCTGGCTACGTGTTCTGATAGTAAAGAGGGAGAGCAGCTTTCGGCGCTGGTCAAGAAGCTATCAGACTGCAATATGCACGGCAAAGATCGAATCAAGGGCACCAGAGCCTTGCCTTACCGAAGGAATGACCGAGAAGGGTCGTGAATATCTTTGAACTGAGTGAAAATACACCGTACCTATCATTCTGACATTGACAATATCGATACTCTTGGCAGTGTCTTAGACTAGACTTGTAGCTGATTATTGAATAGGGTTGCTGGCCTTGAAGACATTGCTCTTGGATACACACTCCTGTGTAAATGGTAGAAAATATGTAAAGAAGGTCCTTTGCCTACCCACCTTGAGTTAGGACCGAGGTAAGCAGTTTGAAGGGCATGTGTTGTATTGCTCCTCACCAGATTGGATAAGCGACTGGCCTGTTTCTCCGATGCTGCTGTAGGATAGGAAACATCATGCGCACCACTACCCTCCAAGTCTGGTTGAAATTCTGTGGATCCTTGAGGAAAGCGACAGTGTGTTCGTAACACAAACTGGTCGATGACTTGCAGGTGTGCAACTGCGCCACTTCCTGTGGACGACCATCGTGGAATCGTACTCCTTCGGTGAGACCTAAACGGTCAGGGAACCCAAGTATGCCAACCTGTGGTGGAATATAAAGCCCTGCGCACTTCTCTCAGTCCCGGTAGCACGGCGTGTCTGCTCTTCAGAACGCCCTTGCTTAAGAGTCTACAAGAGCCGAGCGGCTCGCATGCCTCCCACCTGTACCGTTGCTATGATGCATAAACTGGTAACCCTCACATTTGGCCCTTTCACTGGCATTGGCGGCTCAAGCTGTGTTCTTCGCAGGCCCATCCCTAATGCAAAAGCTTAATCTCTCTTCCACCATCCAGATTGAGTGGTCAACAGGCCTGCTTTCACCATTACCTGCACGTTACCAGCTTTTGGATCTCGGCTTTCTCGCGCTAGATTCTTCAAAAGATTGTACTCTCCACCAGCCCATTGTCTACAATCTCACCTATGGCTTTGGCAATCATTCGTGGAGTTGGGATCCGTCCCAGGAAAACACCAGTTTTCTCAGTGTCATCAGGAATGAAAGTCGGCGCACTGGTGACGATGCCTGGAGGGATTACCGACTTCAGGCCATCATTAAAAAGGAGGGTTCATCCGACAGCTTGGAAATATGGAGCCAAGCATATGAGATCGAGAGGTACCTGTTTGAAGAAGCTGGCGCGAGCACTGCGTTGCCAACAAAGGCACTGCTTCTGGCTGTCTCATTAGGCGTCATGCTCAGCCTACTCTTGTCATGAGACGAAGACATTGCGAAGGATTAAGACAATCTAAAGGACATCCTTAACGACAAGGAAACGAAAAGAATTGAAGAAGGAAATCAAACACATATGCATTTATCCGATCCTTGTCTCACAAACTGCGCCGAGCAACAATGACATCATGTCATCCGTGACGCGGCCAAGTCACGGAAGACACGGCTCGCCAGGGGTAACAGGTTACGTGCCACGATAATCATCGTCGTTGTATCGTCACTGTCTCTATCGGCTGCGCAAGAACAGTTCATATCACCTTAATGGATCATCTTCGACCTCCCGATAGTAACAACAACAACCCCGAGGATGATCCCCCACCACCATACGAGGAGGTTGCACCACCCAACTCGCCTCGACCAGGTCTCGCAACACAGGGCCTGCCGCGACCTCATTCATCGCATAATCCAGATCTACTGAACCCGAGCCCCAGCCAAAGCTCAGGCCCACAGCTTCCCTCGCGTCGACCCCGGAGCTCCAGCCATCTCTCCCCGTATCCAGGTCAAGCTGCTCAGGCTCAAAGGCCGGCGAGAACACCCCAACCAAATCGTCCCTCATCATCATATCCTGGCAACACCAATGTCGGACCGCCACCCATACCCCGCCAGTTCCCCCCAGCCTTCAATGTCTATCTCCAAGGGTTCAGCCGTACCATGATTCTCGCGGAAAACCAGGCCCAGCCCATCTACGCCCTGCGCGCCTACTCAGGCTTCGCCGGCGACGCCTCTCTCATCCTCCACTCTGGCCCAACAGAACGCCACCCCCCTCTCGCAACCCTCGACTTCGCCCCCTTCTCCCTCGGGATCGTCGTAACTCTGCCACCGTCACCCGTTCCCGGCGTTCCCTCGACTCTGTCTCTCGACCCCATTACCGGCTTCGCCCACGGTGGCTACTCCTTCACCATCGACGTCGGCACCTCAGTGTCCCGCCCCCCGGGCTCATCGGGACGCTGGCCCCTCGAAGAGTTCCAGTGGCGTCGTAGCCGGGGCGACGCCGTCGCGAGCCTTGGCGGCAGGGGCTACGGCTGGAAGCTCGTCAGGATGGCTGGCGGGCCTCCTCCCGGCGCTGACCAGCAGTGGAGGCGCGCCGGCTTGGCGGCGGGGGCCCACCGTGGGAGCGACGGCGCCGAGGTAGTTGCTGTGTGGAGCGAGATGGGATACAGCATGAGCAAGGCGCTGCGGTTTGCCTTTTTGGGGACGGGGTTGACGGGGCTTCTTGGGGAGAGGTGGGCCATCATGGCTGTCATGACGGCCATGGGGCTGTTTGAGCGGGAGAGGCGGTCGAGGCAGAGGCGGCGGTTCTGAGGGTTGGTAATGCTCTGGAGTTGGTGTTGCATTAGGCTCTTCAAGCGGACAAGGGGGTTTGTACAATACTTTCTTGTTCCTTTTCTTGGAAAGAATTTGGTCATGTACTCGTATGATCACATCCTAGTACAATGGCTGCTTTTCGAAAACTTTATCCCTTGATTGCCACGAACAGTCCACTCAGTTTTTCCGGGTTCCATCGAGTCTTCTTGTCCAGTCACAGCAATGTCGTGATCCCGCCCCGGAGTCCATGTTCGGGCCTCAATCACAGCTGGCCAGCCTTACCGCGCCTCCTAACGCAATATTGAGTGAACCTTAATGCCTCTCATGGCTTCAATCCTGTGTCTGAGCTAAATGTTCTTCCCATCCCTTCGCCTTGCCTTGCAGCCGATAAAACCGACCTAATACTTGTGTTCATAGGGTCGTCATCTGACTATGTGCACAGACACGGATGTTGCCATAGTTTGTTGAAGTATTTCCATATGGGACAAGATGGCGATGGACAAAAGTCCCCGATGTACTTTGCTGACATGGTCCGGATCGGCATCATCTGCTATCGGGCGTCCAACCCAGCCGCGTCGCTAATCTTACAGGCAAACCTTTTTCAGTCGCGCCGTCATCGACATTGAGGTTACTTTGTGTAAGCAGATGGCTTGCAGGCACGGCCTACTGGATGACAGGGGCTGCGCTAGGTGATACTTTGCGCCGCCCAGTCGGGTCGGCAGAAAGCTGGATCATTTACGAGTTCATCTTAAGAGACGTACCATGGTTACTTTTACTATGGTATTCCTCAGTCGGTGGGCCTTCCAATATGCACATCATTGTCGGATTCTTCAGTTGCCGGATCCAAGTAATGAACTCTTGAAATGTTATATACAACGGCAGGCTTTTTGCGCATCATGCATAGTATTGGCAATTCAGGCTTGAACATATGGCTGCCGGGCCTTGAAAAAGCTACATAGCGGCTGACAGGCAACCAACGAGAATATTCTACAAGCAGGCCCCATAATCTTGATGGACCCAAGTGATGACCCTGCTTCTTCCAAGCGTGACCCAGGTCTGGGAAGCCTAGCCAAACAGCTTGGACTGGGTCCGACATACTAGGCGATTGAAAACCTCCTACTGGGCCCTGCGTCCGTACAACGCAATTAGGAGATTCTGGATCGCAAGCAACGCCTCTCATCTGTGCGGCGCACCTCTCGAGCTCCGCCCAGCGTTAACGAGAGCGTGTGTTGATGTACAGCAGCTACTGATTAGTGCGTAGCATGTCGATCTCGGAGCAACTGAGATAGGCGCCAACCACCTACCAGGTAGCATGCACAAGGTTGTCTTCATCTTTATTTTCGCCGTGTCTGAGCTGGAGACTAGGGGCAGAAGGACCGAATCAAGCCATGAGTTCCTTTCGACCATCGTGAGCACTACATGTCCTTAGTTCGGCACTTGAGCAGATGTGTCCTGGTGTTATCAGCTGTGGGTTGCTCAGGAGTACCAAGCACCATGTGATTCGCGACAGCACGAGATTTTCTTAGCCAGCAACCACGCAGACCTCCCGGCTCATGATCTCGCCAGCTCAAATTTCGTGGACCGGCGCTAGATAAGCGTCCTCGAACAAGAGATAACAAAGGTGGCCGCGAGCAGGTCAACAGAGTTGAGTCCAGTGCTCTAGTCCGACGGTGTAGCGTCAAGATCTGAGGTCTCGCGAAGGCATCCCATGGCTCCAGTGAAGCATCGCAGAATGAACCCGTCCTTGTACCAGAGAGGAATGACACCAAAGTGACTAACAGCCATCGTTATTTCTCAAGCTGTTCTTCAGCATCACATCCAAGTATAAGAGGTCGTCCTCCAAGCCCATTCACTCGACTCCAGCTCCATCACTTCACTCCATCTTCTCTCCTCACACACTCGCTCAGCACCATTATCCTCGTCACCTACCTTAGTCTCAGCCTCCATCACCATGAAGTTCTCCGCCGCCCTCCTGCTCACGGCCGTGACGGCCACGCTGGCCGCGCCAGCCCCGGCCGACGCGCAAATCGCCCCCGTCGAGGCCCGCGAGGCCGCGCCCCGGGGGCGAACTGGGAACCACCACCGCGACCACTGCAGGAAGGGAGTGCACCACGACGCGCACCACGACCGGGGCCCGCAAGCGCTGCAACGACTACGACTACAGCTACAAGAAGAAGGGGACCGGTCACCTACACGTAACACCTACTTGCCAGGTGCACGACTGCGGGCACCGAATTGGAACGGCCGCTAACGGCTAACGACTAACTAACAAGGCCTACGGCTACAAGGGGGGCTACAAGGGGGAAA